GTTTTGGATATGAGTTTATTTTCATTTTTCAATTTTGAAACATCATTTTTATATTTTAAAAATAATTTCTCATAATCCGAAGCCAACCCATTATATTCCTCTAATAGCTCATCATAAGATAAATCATCAAATTTAGATGAGATAGAGGTTACCTTAGAATCTTCCCCGAATGCCATCAAGCACAAGTTTGCTACTTCTTGTTCCTCTTCATCGAAACCCTCTTCATCGCTCCATGTAGCCACATGAGTCTTGTGCTTATTTTTTGATTGACCCTTTCTTTTCAATTGTAGCCAATCATATTTGACATACCTCGACTTTTTGCATTCATAGCAAATGATAGGGTCCTTCTCTTTTGGTTCATTTTTGAGGCCTTCATTTCGTTTGAATTTTCTTCCTCGGTAAGGCCTCATCATTTTTCTGAACCGTTTGGCAAACAATGTCATTTCCTCGTCATCTCATCTTCATTTGAATCACTCTCATCTTTTGTGGATTTGAGAGAAACTCCAATGTTTTTCTTCTTCTCCTTCTCTTTTGGTGTCTCGTCAATCTTATTGAGGTCACCTCATCTTCAAGCATCATTTCATGAATGAGGAGGAAACCGATTAGCTCGTCAAGAGTTAAGGACTTTAGGTTCTTAGCCTCGATGATTGCAGTCTTCTTGGATTGTCATGATTTTGGAAGTGAGTAAACTAACTTCCTCATAAGCTTTTCATTTGGAATGATCTCTCTGTATGATTTGAGACCATTGACAATCGTTGAGAATCTATCCGTCATAGCTTTGATATATTCATTTGGTTTAATCCTGAAATTTTCATAGCTATGTGTTAGAAGACTAATTTTAGATTCTTTTACCTTTTCAGTGCCTTCATGAGTGACTTGTAGTTTATCCCATACTTCTTTGGCGGTTGTACAAGATGAAACTCTTACATATTCATCTGGTCCAAGAGCACAAAATATGATATGGATTGCTTTGGAGTTGAGCTGGAACATTCTTGTCTCTCCTTCACTCCATAATCTTGGATGAGTGAAGGCTTGATATATCCGTATTCTACAACATTCCATGCTCCCATGTCACTTGCTTGAATGAAATACATCATATTCTTCCAATAGGCATAGTTAGCTTTATTGAAGAAAGGAGGCTTGTTGACGGGCATCGAATCGAGACCGGAGTCGACATTTGAAGTAGAGGCCATTGATGACTTGATAATCGATGTAACTCTTCCCGAATCGACTCAAGAGGTTATTAAACCTTCAAATGAGTAAGGCTCTGATACCAATTATTGAGTTAATCGATCGACGGAATCAGCCAAGAGGGGGGTGAATTGGCAATTGAAATTTTTGTGGAAGCTTTTGCAGAAAATTGAAAGTAATTGTGCAGCGATTTAGAGTGGTTCGACTTTCTCAACCAAAGTCACGTCCACTACCTTAGCTATCCACACTAAGGAGTTTCCATAAATTCACTAATTTGTCTTTCTTTTTAGGACAAAGAGTAACCTTATAAACCCCTCAAGTATTATACCCTAAATTCTTGAGAACACTCTCTCCCAAAGAGAATATTACAAATTTGCAAACTTACAAGGAAATCCTCACAATGTAGATTGTTTGCACAATTCTAGAACAAAGAAAAGAAAACTCAGGAATGAATACAATTGAGTACAAATAGTGTTCTTGAAAGCAAAATAAATATTGAATGAAAAATAGGCTTGAAATGCTCAAACTTGATGTTTGATGCTCTCTCTTTGATTCTCTCTTGATTCTAGTTGCTTGTTGTTTTCTTGTTATTGATCAATGGCTTCTAAGCTTGTTTAAATACACCTTCAAATGATTCTGAACATTGAGGATGATTAGTGGAGTCAATAGAGCCGCTTAAGTGTGAAAATAATTAATTAAAGCAGTTGGGAGCATCAGTGCATCGATGCATACCCTAGGTGCATCGGTGCATCAGTGTAAAATTCAAATATTTTGACCGTTGAACCCTTAGTGCATCGGTGCACTAAGAGTGCATCGATGCATAAAATGCATTTGATGTTTTAAAAAAGCCAGAGTGCATCGATGCATGGTCTTGTGCATCGATGCATCAAATGCACTGAGTGCATCGATGCATGGTATGTGCATCGATGCATAAAATGCATTCGATGTTTGAAAAATTAATTGGTGCATCGGTGCATCACTTTGAAAAATTGATTTTAGGCTTGATTTCGGTTCAAAATACTTTGTGAAAATTGTTTAAAAAATAGTTTAAGTATAAAACACAATTTTACACATTTAGTAAGGTTTAAAATTGATCTTGAAAGACTTGGAATAATAATTTGATATTCTATTAATTGAATCGAATATACTTAGAAAAATATTTGTAAAATCTTCATTTAAACTTAGTTTTTTATCGAAACATCAAAATATTTTCAACAGTTTCTGCTGAGGAAATTAAGTCATCATTGTTTAAGTAGGAGAAAGAGAAAAGTCTAGGGCCAGATGGGTACACTGCTTATTTTTTCAAGGTAGCCTAGGATATTGTGAAAGATAATTTTCTAGCTGCTATTAGGGAGTTTTTCCAAACTAGGTCTCTCATTTCTATTTTTAACGCCACATCAATTGTGTTGGTTCCTAAGTCTACTAATGCGAGTATGGCTAGGGATTTTCGCCCTATTTGTTGTTGCTTAGTAGTGTACAAAACTATTAATGGTATTCTTGTGAATCGCTTGGCAGGTTATTTTTCGGATATAATTTTGCCAAACCAATATGCTTTTATTAAGGGGCGTAGCATTATTGATAACACTTTGTTAGCTCAGGAGATTGTTAGGGGATATTCTCGTAGTTCTCTTTATCCTAGGTGTGTTGTTAAAATCGATTTAAAGAAAGCTTTTGATTATGTTAGTTGGGATTTTTTGATGAAAGTGCTTGCTTCTTTGGGGTTGCCTGAGGTGTCCAGGGGTTGGATCAAAGCTTGTGTTACTAGTGCACGATTCTCTGTTGCTTTTAATGGGAGTTTAGTGGGTTATTTTAAAAGGAGAAAGGGAATAAGGCAGTATGACCCGTTGTCCCCTTACCTTTTTATAGTGGTCATGAATGTACTTTCTTATTTGTTGAATGTTGCTGTTAGGGATGGTTTATTTCATTTTCATCATAGGTGTAAGAGATTTTCTCTTACACATCTCAGTTTTGCTGTTGACTTACTTATTTTTTGTCATGGGAGAGAGAATTCGGTCTTGGGGTTGTGGGGGTTCTTTTGGTGTTTTATGAAATGTTTTGATTGCAGCTTAATGCGGGAAAGTCTGAGTTATTTGTTTGTGGGGTGCAGGAGCATGTTTTGTATAGAGTGCAAGCTGCCACTGGGTTTAAGTTGGGAAAGTTTCCTATTCGGTACCTTGGAGTGTCTTTAGTTACTAGGAAATTAACTGTAAATGACTATTTTCCTTTGATTGACAAGATTAAAAGCAAGCTGGGGTTATGGTCTAAAAGGAAATTGAGTTATGGTGGTGGGTTGTAACTTATCCAGTTTGTTTTGTTTAGTATTTCAAGCTTTTGGTGTAGGCAGTTGATTTTGCCAAAGGAGGTAATTTGGCAGGTTGAGCAGCTTTGTATGAGGTTTTTTTTGGAAGGGTGATGACTTTCCAGCTAGGGGAACTAGGTTTAACTGGCAGCAAATGTGTTGGTTAAAGTCTGAGGGGGTTTAGGCTTGAGGAGCTTAGTTTGTTGGAATAAGGTTTGTTGTTTTCTTCTGATTAAGAATATTTTTGCTAATGTTGGTTCCCTATGAGTGGCATGGGTCAAGGAATATGACTTGAAAGGGGTTGGTTTTTGGGATGTTAGTTATAAGCCTCAGTTTAGTTGGATATTGAGAAAGCTTCTTAAGCTTAGGAATGAGGCAGCTGGACTATTTACTAATATGGTGGCTTGAGATGTGGTGAATAGCATTTGATTTTGGGATAGAGTTAGAGATAGGAGGGAGAAGCTACTATACGAAGGTCTTCTCTAGTTTCCTTTGCATATCCCAAAAATGTTAATTGTTGTTTAGATGGTTATTTTAAATAGGTTGCCCACTAAAGACATGCTCATTCGAATGGGGTTGGAGTCGGATGGGAGTTGTGGCCTTTGTGAAGATGGGTTGGAAAGAAGGGAACATTTGTTTAATGACTGTGTGTTTGTTGGTGGAATCTGGAACAGAGTTATGCATGCCTGTAGGTTGTCTTATAGGTCATTGTGCTGGAATGAAGTTTTGCCTTAGGCAGTTGATAATTTCAAAGGGAAGTCTTTGCTTGTTTGTATCTTGAAGTTGGTTTGGACTTGCTTTTTGTATTTTGTTTGGGAAGAGCGCAATTTTAGGCGTTTTAGGAGATGCGCTCGTTTAGTTGAAGAGATCTTTGAATGCATTAGGATGATTGTTTGTGCTAAATTACAAGGTTGTTATATTAACAAACTTGATAGGGTTAATTTGCTGCTTTGTCTTGATTGAGGGATTTGTTGATTTTATTTCTCCTTTGCTGCTGGGTTAATAGTGTTGCTGTTTTGGCTGCTTAATTGTTGAGGAGAGTGGTTTCTTGGGGATAAGAAGTTTGTTGTTTAGTTTGGTGCCCAGCAGGGTTAACTGCTTGGTGGTTCTTTTGTAGTAGGTTTTCCTGCTTTCTTTTGGGTAATAAAATTGAAATTATCCAAAATAAAATTAAAAAATTTTAATTTAAACTTAGCAAAACATTAGATACACTTCGATGTATGATAAGACATTTATATAAATATTTTATAACTAATAAATTCATAATATATTTCACAATAAAATAAAAAATGCCTTATAACTAAAAGGATAGGGGTTTATTTATGTAAAAGAAACTAATTTAAATAGGCTATGATAGCTTAACGAGTTTTTTTTAATAAATCAACCAAAAGGTTACATGTAGAATATTTGTTTGCTAGTTAATATTTGGCTGTACAAAACATTAATACCCTAAAACTTGAGTGACTAAATTGAAATATTTTTTGGGGTGATTAAAACATTAACACCCTAATTTGTTAATCGAACAAAGCAGAAACATAAATAAAAGCTAAATCATTTGTTCATCCATGCGTTCTAAGGCTTTCAAGTTAAGAATTTAAGGAGGAAAACGAAACGGAGTAGTTTGTTTTGTACCTAAAGATCCCGAAGAGTTTTAAACGAAATGCAGTTGGTAAACATGAAAAACACGCCTTCTCCGAACGCTATCGGTTCTATTTCTACAAGAGGATCAGCCTCCTCGCATGTGGGCACCTAGTTCACCAAACTGGTCATCGGCTTCCACAGTATCTTCGGACAGGCGAACTGCATCGAGCTTCTGTTTAAGGATGTCGATGGCGTTAAGAACCATCTGAGAAGCTTTGATAGCACCGGTGGATTCGACGGTGAAAATGAAACTGTCTTCTTTGGCATATATCTCCACAAGGCCCGGCTTGCCCATAGCTTCGGCTTTCTTTAGCACTTCATCATCATAGGTATATGCCTCTGGGTCAACCACCACAACCTGTTTTCAACCAAGAAAAAAAGACAAACAAAAATTAGAGTTAGCGGCAGCAGTGAAATCAAATATCCTCGAAAATTTGGCTCGGGATTCAGGGACCAAAACTATGTACTCAAAAAACATGAAGCATTCTACATCAAGCACAGAACAATCATCTAATCCAACAAACTATTTCCTAAATGCTTCAACTATATAACCAGCTATCGTATGACCGGAGAATTCTAATAAAAACAACGAAAATGTTGATTTTAAATACAACCATACTAGCATAATGGACCCATTTCACCGACTGATACACCCAATAAGCCAATATAGTTTGACAGCTAACCCGTTAGCCTATGAGATAAGATCAGGAAACAGGGTGTTAATGGCAGAAACCCCAATCCGAAAACCTAAACTGAAGCTAAACTTCCATCAATATCTTCATAATCCACAAAACGAGCATAGAAAGGACATTGATGATGTAGAAAATATCTCTTTTTCCACAACAATTTCTTCAACAACCTGTAACATAGTTTGATAATATAATGATGTAGCAAGAGAAGAACCTGTTGGGTATTAGGATCAATGTCAAAGACTCTAGTAGGACTACTCTCGACAAAGCTTTGCTTCTCCTCAAGCGTCAAGGTATCCATCATATCTTCATTGATATGAATCTCAGGTTCATACATGAAAGTCACAGTTGCAGCAGGTGACCATTTTGCGTGATCTTTCCCTATCCCTTTCCTCGCAATTGCCCTTAGCCTCAACTCTTGCCCGCGCCGCAGTTTCACAATGATAATCCCCCTGAAAGTAGTAAACAGTTACTGCCTGTAACTATCTAACACTAGAAAGCCAATGCAATGGAAATAACATAAAACGGATAATAGATTTGAATACTAATATTATTCGTAATGATATTTGTATCCAAATCATTATTCACAGAAATAAAGCAGATTTACAAAATTGATATCAAAGAACCAACATCCACAATCACTCTACATGCACTAAAGAAGCACATTATAATTTTAAGTAATTCGGATAATGAAAATAGGATTTTAAAGCAGATTAGCAGGGTGCAATTATAATTTTACAGAAAAATACATATATTCAACAAGCTACCATCCCTCTAAAATTGGAAGCACCTCACAAATTTGTAACCCTGAATACCTTTGCTCAGAAGAATCGTAGCCAGCAGAATCGGTAAAATTGACGGGAACAACTGTATGATCAGAACTGTAGAGATCGTTACTAGTGACATCGAGGGTCTGATCGCTCATGCATTTGGCACGAAGATGGAACTCAACTGAGCAGAACTCACACTGCCCGTCACCGTCGCAAGCGTCGCAGTCACGGGAGAATCGCATCGACATGGCTCGTTCGCTGGTGAGTGGAATGAGGCCGAGTCGATGGGCTATGAACTCGTCGTTGAGGACGGATGAGTTGACTTCGATCTCGACGAGATCGATTGCGATGGTGGGGACTTCAGCGATCATAACGCGGCGGAGGGCGTTCGCCATGGAGGCGTCGGTGTCGCGAAGCTCGAACTTTGCGTAGTCATCCTTAAGTTCGCGGATTTTGATCTTTGGGAATCGCTGGTACGATGCTCCTTCCATTGGCTCTGAAAAAAAAACACAAACTCAAAAACCCTAAACTGGAAGAGACAAAGAGGAAGTTTGATAGAGTTGGAGTGACGTTTGGTTAGATTGGATGGAATCTCTTGTAATTGATGAGAATTAGAATCTAATTTCATTAATTTTTTATATTTTGTTCAAATTTTTTAAGGAATTGGAATCTCTGAAGGAATTCAATTCTATCCAATGAGAAAAGGTGAATTATATCAAAAAAATGGATAGAATTCAATTTTCTTGTGAGAGGGAAATTGAAATTTGACCATATTACCCTCATCAATCATTTGGTAACTTATTCATATATTAAATAAAAATACTTTTTTATTATTTCGGGTCGGGTCGGGTGAAACTTTATTTTGGGGTCGAATTAGATTTTTTTAAGTGTGATATTCGGGTCGGGTCGGGTTCGAGTTTAGGGTGAAAAAAACCGAACCGACCCGAAAATATATATAATTCAGGTCGGGTCGGATTAAGTCACTGTTTTTATTAAATAAAAATAATTTTTTATTATTTCGGGTCGGGTTGGATTTCTAATTCATATATTCGGATTGGGTCGGATGAAACTTTATTTTGTTCGGGTCGGTCGGGTTTTTTAAGTGTGATATTCGGGTCGAGTCGGGTCGGGTTTGAGTTTAGGGTGAAAAAAATCGGACCGACCCGAAAATATATATAATTCGGGTCGGGTCGAATTAAGTCATTGTTTTTATTAAATAAAAATAATTTTTTATTATTTCAGGTCGAGTCGGATTTCTAATTCATATATTCGGGTCGGGTCGGGTTTTTTTAAGTGTGATATTCGGGTCGGGTCGGGTTCGGGTTTAGGGTGAAAAAAAAGAACCGACCCGAAAAAAATATATAATTTTATCTTATATATTTAGAAATAATTACAATAATACCCCTCTATATATAATTTTTTTCAATTAAGTCAATATTTTTATTGAATAAAAATAATTTTTTATTATTTTGATTCGTGTCGAGTCGAGTTTCTAATTCATATATTAAATAAAAATAGTTTTTGGTATATTTTTTAGTAACTAATTAACATACTCCGATTGGAATGTATCGAAATATTGCTCTATCTTTTAGTAACTTATCAACATATTTTGATTGCGATGATTTTAACTTATAATGTTTATTAGAATGATTTTTATAATTTATTAAAATAAATAATCAATTAATAAAATGAAAATTTAATATTTTTAATTTTTTATAATATATTACTACATGTAAGTTGTAAAATAAACTAAAATAAAGTAAAAAATGGAATGACAATTCTGTCATTTTATATTACTGAAATTAAATTCATCAAACATGTCTGCGAACCAAATAAATATGGAATTGGATTCCAATTCCAATTCCATTTCCTGCCAACCAAACAGAATATGAAATTAATTTCAATTCCTACAAATTTCAATTCTACAATTTCAATTCCTTCAGAGATTCTAATTCCCTCATAAACATTTCCTCCATGGCTATTCAAGGGGAATAGAGACAACGTCGTACAATCTTAAATAAATAGAGAGCCAACGACGCCGTATGGTGACATCCATATTTTCTTCGGTTTAATTCCGTTTTTAGTCCCATAATCCTCTACGATTTCAAATTAGTCATCGTGTTTAAAATTTGAGGAATTTAGGGCTATTTTAACATTTTTAAAACGTTTGATTTAAAATTTAAATCTTAATAATTACTGTTAAAATATATTTTCAGTAAATAAATTATTACTGTAAGTATTATATTATACGTTGTAAGCATAAGTAATCTTTTCTCCACCTCTCTATTAAAGAAAAAAATAGAATAAATAAAATTCTAAATTTGAGTTTTAATCGATGAATAATAATTTAGCATAATTTCATCCTTTAATTTTATAACTTATTTATACGTTTAAATTTTTAATTTGATTCAACTCGATTCATATTTAATATTTATAGTAAGAAGCAAAATAATTACAATAATAATAAACTTTAAGTCCTTCAAGAATTATTCAAAGACAAATTCACTACCAAAGTAGCAAAATGCGCAGCAAAGACCCAACCCAACGAGTAAAAGAAATAGGGTAATATCAATGATGCTGCAATCCTACAACTTAAGGAAAACAAGCTCTTCAATGGCAGGGACCTCACCGATCCTCTTCAACGATTCTTTCCTCGGCTGCTCATCGACTCCAATGGCCATAACCGCGTGCATCCTCGGAGCAATCCTCCCCACACTCATGAAGCTCACGTTCACGTTCTCCTCGCCCAAAATGCTTCCCACTTTACCGATCATACCGGGTTGATCAACCTGACTGCAAAGTATGATACTACCTTCCAAGCTCACATCAACTCCGAATGACCCTACCTTCGTCAAACGAGGGATTCCGTCCTTCACCCGCCCTTTGACACTGATCTCGCCGACGGATGATTTGGCGCTAGCGAATTTCGATTCCACATTAGCAATCTGGACTTCGATAGATTCGAGTGGAGACTCGGATGAACCATCTAAATAGATTCGTTCCTCCATTATCCGTAGTCCCCTTTGTTTAGCCGTGTAGTCGGCATTGACAAGGTTCACATAAACGTTGCAAATCGGCTCGATTATTCCCTTGGTGATCATAGCACGGAGCAACCTTGTATCGAGCTCGGCTCGGGAAGAAGTATAGGATACTTTCACGGTCTTGACACCACGTCCACCTGATACCAATTGGACAGCCAGCCTCCCAAGTTTCTCAGCAAGTTTGACATACGGTTTCAACTCGTTCAGAACCTGCAGGGGAAGAACATCTAATTGAAGCGATGATCGTAAATGACTCAACATAAAGACGGAAACCGAAGGTTATATCGAAAGGAACGCTACGAAAGTTATTGATTGTACCTCAGCAGGGACCATTGGTGCATTAACCGCAGTTGCAGCAAGTTCCCCTTTCAAGGCACCAACAACAGCTTCAGCGATCTCGATAGCCACTTCTTCCTGCAAAAACATACCGATGCTTCGTTTAGTAACCTTGTCCGGAAACAAAGAAAATGTCGATATGTCGATTGAACAGCCTACTTGAGCCTCCATCGTACTAGCACCAAGATGCGGAGTGACGGTAACCTTCTCATGCTGCACCAACTTGTTGTCCTTACTAGGTGGCTCCTCACTGAAGACATCAAGAGCAGCCTGAGCTACGATCCCGCCGTTCAACGCCCTCCAAAGCGCATCTTCGTCAATCACTCCCCCGCGAGCAACGTTAATGATACGAACGCCTTTCTTCATCTTAGAGAATGCCTCGGCATTGAGCATCTTCGAAGTAGCAGGGGTGAGAGGCATGTGCAAAGAGATGAAATCTGCAGTTGCTATGGCTTCCTTCAAGCCCACTAGCTCAACACCGATAACATGAGCAAGATCCGCCGGAGCGTAAGGATCATGTGCAATAACATGCATTCCGAGTCCCTTTGCTCGCCGAGCTACTTCCGATCCGACCTTACCGAAACCTAAGACGGCTATCCTTTTTCCGACAAGGGATACACCAACATTCTTGCTCCTTTGCCATTTCCCTACATCATCATAAAGGACATTAATCTTTTGTAAATTTGAAATAACATAATAAAAATAAATCAAATCAACACGTTTCATATTTTTTTAAAATAATTATCGGTATTCGATATATTGATATCCATACCGTATTTTATTATTTGTGCCATACAAATGTCACATTGCTTAAAACTAACAATAGCTGGAACATATTTCAAAATAATGGATGATAGTCATTCACCAGATTTCATGGAAGCATCAGCCTGAGCTACATTTCGAGCCATGGCAGTTAAAAGCGCGATCCCGTGCTCCGCCGCGGCAATGGTGTTAGCCGTCGGAGCATTGACAACCAAACAACCGTGCTCGGTGGCGGCGGCCAGATCGACATTATCGATACCAACGCCAGCTCTCCCGATGACCTTCAATCTCCCTCCGGAAGATTCAAAAACCGTGCGGTTGACTTTGGTGGCGCTACGGACGATCAAGGCGTCGCAATGCGCAACCTTGATACGGAGCTCTTCGGGGGAGAGGTTGTAACAGCAGTCGACGTTGGCGTGGTGTCTAAGCAACGCTAAACCGGCCTCGCCGAGCTTCTCGGCGACGAGTACGGTTGGCTTCTTGGACGAAGAACTGGATGGTGATGAAGTTGGGGCGGCGGGTACGATTGGCTTCTTGGAGGAAGAACCTGGGGCGGGGGCGGCGGTGACGACGAAGAAGCGGTGGCTTTGCTGTTGGGAGCGGGAAAAACGGATGTTGTTAGGGAAGGTGCCGGGAAAAGAGGAGCGAAGGTTCCATTTAGAGGAAAGGGAAAGTGATGGGGTTTTGAGAGAATGTATTTTCAGAGAAGCCATTTTTTGTACTGAGTGATGAATTCCGAAGAAATTTTATTAGACAGCAGCGAAGAAGATGAAGCAGGCAGTTAAGAGGAATGGAAATGAGAGAACGTAGGATCAAATAGTTGGTTACAACTTGAGTTAATTGTACTACACTTCCCCAAACTATGACCTTTATTTTAAATTAGCCTTTAAAATTTTAATTATTATAATTTTATCTATAAACTATTAATCTCATTCTAAATTGATCTCTAAATTTTTTAATTCCGAATTCATCCCTAAACTACTACCATTCTCAATTGATCCCTAAATTTTTTATAATTCCAATTTTATTTGTAAACTTTTGAATTATATTTTAAATAATTAACCGTGATAAAAAATTTGATAGTTCAATTAATTATATTATCTTTATACACTAAAATTTTATTAATATTTTATGATTTTTTATTTAATTATAGTTGAACTGATGGTTCAACATGTTAAATTTATATTTTTTTGTTTTGATCAATTCGACTATAATTTAATTCTTATAATTTGATGTAAAAATTATTTATTGATCATAATTTCGTGTAAAACTAATAAATTTTAAACGTTAAATGAAACATCTAATGTAACATTATTTTGACTAACAAAAGTAAGTAAAGCCTTTTTTTTATTATTGTTATGTTAATCCAGTCAAAGTGACGAGACTACAGGTTTTGATTAAGTTAAAAAATATTTCGAGAAATTTAAAATTTTTAAGTTTAGTAGTCTTTATTATTTTATATTTTAATGAAATATACATATATACACATGTATATAATTAACTTAATTCTAAGGCTGATTGAGACAAAAGATGTCACATTTGATAAACGGAACGAATTTAAAATCAATTTACAATTTGTACAACTATTGTAGATAAGTCAAATAGGCGAGGACTAAATTGTAAGATTATCAGAATTCAATCATCAGTACAAATAGTTAATGGCTAGCCTACAAACATTTGTATACGGGATAACCAATATGAATGTGAATAGGTTAATTCCTTTGTAAAATTAATCATGTTAATACCTAAAGGGACTAAATTGAAATAGGCATCAAAGTAATGATGCGTAAAGATAAATGAATCTTAAATAAGCGATTTTTAGAAGGTCGGTTATTTTTGCCCTAGCCAGAAATTATTTTAGGAAATACAACATTCTCTCGGATATTAATTTTTAACGGTCCCCATGTTGTGGCCTCATGTGAATTATTATTTTAATTGGTTTTAATGACTCGTCACGCTTTGGTGACGAGTCCATTAAAAAATAATATATTTTTAAAATTTTTAAAATAATATATATATATATATATATATATATATATATATATTTTTTAAAAAATAGGGAGATCTCGTCACGTCGAGGTGACGAATTCCTTAAAATTCAAAATTACTAGCCGTTGTCAATGGGAAGTCAGACAACAACAGTTACATATCGGGTAAAATTTAAAAAAAAATTAAAAGAATTTATTATTTTACAAAATTAAAAAAAATAATTGCAATAAATAATTTTTTTACATCAAAATTATAAAGAATATTTATCTCTATCTTTGAAGTTCTTGACGATGTCGATGAGTTATCAAACGATAATGCCGCATGGGCTTGTTGAGTACATCTGGGTCGTAGGCCTTGGTCGTCGTCATCATCTTGCTAAGGAGATGTACTTAACACACTATACGATCACCTTCGAAATACGGTGATGAATTTATGACATTTGACGCCATCATCGCCGCAACTGCTTTGACTTAACTTTGGTGACCATATAGATATGGTCCTACTCACCCACAACGGCGTGTTCTGTGGAAGATCCTTGAGTGTATTGCGTTGCATCCCATGAACCTCCAACCCAATGCGGTCGAGTCTCGTCTGAAGCTTGAAATGGAGGATAGAAACCGAAACTGGCTTGAGATGCATGATAGTACTCTTCAGCGACAGATGCTGAAGCGGAAGCAGAAGACGACGATGCTTTTTTGGGACTTCGACTTGGCGTCTGGCCTGATGATTTTTCCATTCTTCCCTTTCTTCTGGTGTCGTCAGATATGTTTTCCCATTTGCTTAGTAATTTTGAAGATAGAGAGAATAGTCGAAATCGAGGTCCAGCAGTGTGATGTCCTGATGTAGGGGGAGCGATTGGTCATGCTGATTCCATAGCTCGATGTAGAATGCGTGCCTCATCGACCAATTTTCAGTAAGTTTCCCACGCATATCAATTGTATGGATCACGTCCATTTCAACCATGCAACTACATGTTCTATGGAAGATCCTTGAGTGTATTGCGTTGCATCTCATGAACCTCAAACCTAATGCGATCGAGTCTCGTCTGAAGCGTGAAATAGAGGATAAAAATCGAAACTGGCATGGGATGCATGATAGTACTCTTCACAGCAAATGCTAAAGTTGAAACAGAAGATGACGATGCTTTCTTTTTGGACTTCGACTTGGTGTGTCTGGCCTGATGATTTTTCCATTCTTCCCTTTCTTTCAGTGTTGTCATATATGGTTTCCCATTTGCTTCGTAATTTCAAAGATAGGGAGAATAGCCGAAATCGAGGTCCAGCGGTGTGATGTCCTAATGTAGGGAGAGCGATTGGTCACGTTGATTCCATTGCTCGATGTAGAATGCGTGCCTCACCACCAATTTTCAGTATGTTTCCCACGTATATCGATTGTATGGAGCGTGTCCATTTCAACCATAAGCGTAGGAATCGGCTGGTGCGACTCAAACTATCGTATCACTATGTTTGCAGAGTGCCACTTATAATTGCATAATACAACAACGACGTCACGATACACCATAAGTGGGACACCTAAAAAATCCCGCCGATAATAATTGATTGATCTCTTCGTCGACATATGGAAGCCAAGAGAACTGTAAATATTAAACATCAAAGTTAGTATATATAAAGTTAAAAAGATTCAAAAAAAATCGTATGTCATACCGTATATCGACCCGATGTCGATCCTTATCAGTATGTCGTGTGTAGTGGCACCTGCCAACTTTGTCTCGGAGATTTTATGACGCCATCTAAAATATTTTAAAATAAAAACTATTATAAACAAGCAAAAAAAATAAATTTACGAAATAAAAAAATAATTAAATAAAGTTAAACAATTACCTTGCAGCTAGCAGAAACTCGACCAAAGCTGTTATAACTGGCGTATCAAACAACCAGCTACATCGGCTTTTTGACCATGTTGGACAATTACGGCCTTGCAAAGCTCTTGGTAAAGAAAGACCAAAATCGCCGACCCCCAACTGGTATTACGCCAGACAACGAAGTCTTCCAAATATCGTAGATATTGTGTGTGCACCAAATTACCGAATTTTTCCAGTAATAATATCCCTCCGATCACTTGGAGAAGAAATGCTCGAGAGCGAAAACAACCTTTGCCTCGGTAGACTTGTTCGTGACTTGGAATTCAGACTCCAACCATATTATCATCACCCGATAACCCCTCATGAGTCGGATGGTAACATTCCCCAAAACATGATGAATCAACGTCGCGGGGTTGTACATGTTCTACGCAACCACAGGGGCTCCATTCACAGGAACACCGAGTCAGTAAGTGACGTCTTCCAGAGTAATCGTCGCTTACCACTCGGGAAAGTGGAACGTGTGCATCTCGAGCTGCCAACGTTGGATCAAAGCCTCAATCAACACCGTGTACACCTTGAAGCCACGTAAAAATAAGGTCGAAAATAGATCGGATTGATGTAAACACGTCATCATCCGCTGATGTGACTCTCTGGTTATCATCTCCGACTACGAATACCCCATTTATCGTTGTTCGACACACATTGGATCAACGAAACATGGGAGTTATCCAACTGCAACATATATTCTTGGGTTGACATTTTTTGAGATTTTGACAGAACATATGAATTTTTGTAATTTTTTTATAGATTCAGGGTTTAGTGAAAAATTAAAACCCCAAACCCTATTTATAACCTTACCTCCAACGATTATAAACGGTTGCAAATTTGAAATATCCAACCAAACTCTTCACCTCGAGATGACGAGTTCTATGTGCCTGTTGCTGTTTGACTGCCCGTTGACCAACGACTAGTAATTTTGAATTTGAATGAACTGGTCACCTCGACATGATGAATTCTCACTATTTTTTTAATTTATATATATATATATATATATATATATTATTTTTTTTTAAAATATTTTTAATGGACTCGTCACCTTGGTGTGACAGGTCATTAACACCCAATTAAAATAATAACCCACGTGAGCCCACAATGCGGGAAACATTAAAAATTAATATATGAAGGAACTCGTCACCTCGTGGTGACGAGTTCGGTGTTTACTGTAGAGAATACCGTATTTTCTAAAATAATTTATGGGTAGGCCCAATACCCTAAATAATTTACCCGCATGGGGTATTGGGCCAAAAAAACCTCCCATACTATGGTTGCAAAACCGATACTAAATTCCTCCTCAATCGTTTATTACTCATCAAATACCCCCAAGCCTTTAAAAGCTCAACCACCAGACCGTACTCATTCTTCATTTCTCTCCTACGGTCGAAATCTCCGATGAGATTTTGAGTTTGTTGCTGTCAAACGTCGATGGATCAAATTCTCTCTGACAAAAATCTCCAATGGAATTTCGAGTTTGTTTCTGTTAAACATCAATAGATCAAGACTTTGATCGAATCACAGGGTCGTGAAGTCCCAAGAATGAAGTGTTGCGCAAGCTGATGAACCAGCATGATGCTCAAAACTGATCCCCGACTCGTCAGGAAAATGGTGTTGATTACGGCGGAGCAACCAATTGTCGCCAAAATTTCAACGGAGCTTACCCTTCAACGGTCGTGGAATGAATTGTTCGAGTTCAATAAACGGGAAGAAGGAACATGAACAACCATTAGCAGACAAGCAAGTTAATGGGATGAAAATGACAACGGCGATAATGTTGGGTTAATTTCAACAAACATCCTCAAAATTATGCTCTAAATTTTAAATGGATCCCCAAATTCATAAACTTTC